GGTGTAAGGTAAGAATGAGTATAGACAGAAGTTCTAATATTCTCTCCGATGCCTCACTTTTGTGTTCTACACACTCCCCTTAGTAAAATACCACAGTGCACTGATTCTCCCAGAGAGTAATAACAATGCTTTTTCACCATTCCATTGCTCAATATGTGATTAACATATGTAACTGGATTGCACTGATGCAGATTTCACTACATATTTTCAGAATCTTAGTAGTTTTTGAAAATACTTTATGATGGTTGGACTTTCTCCCTGAGAACAAACTGAAGACTTCTGGGTAATTTTTTTGTAAATATTTTAGATTTGTTTTTATTGAATTTTTGTGTATTTTATACAGAAAAGAATCTTTGATCATCTTTATAACACTGTCCCTACCAGCATCCCCCCCACCCACTGGAACCCATATATTCTGTCATCCATATTAAGACCAAATGTGTCAAGTCATTGTGCCCAGACATACCCCTGTGCAAGTCCATCCACTGAGATCTAGTCAGCCTATCTAGAATCTCTTGTTTTAGGATGATCATCTCTTCCTAATCAGCTGCCAGTGTTTCCTCAGCTAAGATTGGGGTCTTCTGATCATTTCCCCAGTTCTATGCAGGGCTTTTGTCTGCCTGAGTTTGCATGGGACTTTTGTATGCTGACATCATTGTCATATAATCATATGATCAGAGTCCCAGGAGTTTGTAGGATTGTAATTTTTTTTTAATTTTGTAATATTTCATGCATAACATTTTAGTCACCTTTATACCCCCTTCCCCGTTGGCACCCTCCCAGTGTGTCTCACACACTGGAATTAATACACTCTGTCATTTGTGTTAAGGCCTATCATGTCAAGTTAGTGTCCCCAGATGTCCCTCAGTGCAAATTCATCCACTGGGGTGTAGTCAACCTATCTAGAGTAATTTTAAGACAGCTAAAAGTAGATATATTAAGGTAAAGAAACGATTCTGCTTTGTAGTTACAAAGGGAAACAATCTGAGGGATCAGGTGTAATAAAAATAAATGACCATTGGCATGCATTGGCATAGTCTTCGCTATCTGTCGCTTATTTTGAACAAGTTACCATAACCTGGACTTATAATCAACAGAGTTTGTTTTTCACAGCCTGCCTATAGGAAAGTCCAGGATCAAGGCACTGGCAGGCTGTGTCTGGTGAGGGCCAACCACTTACAGACAGCACTTTCTTGCTGTGTCTTCATGTGATAGAAATGGAAATCAAGCTCCCTTAAGTCTGTTGCTGTGGTTTTGTTTAATGTTTTATTACCAAGATTGCTAATGAGATTCAGGAGGACTCTACTCTCATGGCCTAATCAGTTCCCAAATGGCCCTGAGCAATGGTTCCTTCACCTGGAGAATTACAATTTAAATTGACAAATCTGGAGAAGAGCAAAACTTCAGACAAGGCAGACATAGTCACAGCAGTTCAGATTTGTAGCCTGTAGAACATTTCCCATGTTTCATAGCCCTACTATGGCTATTCTAAATGCAGTTGTTAGAATGTCACAAACCTCCTAATGAATAACATGTTGACTCCAACTCACTGTGAATCCCTGGACTTTCATGCAGATGCTGGGTGGAATCCCATGGCAAGCCTACTTCCAGAGGGTCCTCTCTTCATCCTCTGCCACCTATGCTCAGGTGCTGTCCTTCCTGGCGGCTTTTGGGTGCCTGGTGATGGCTCTACCAGCCATATGCATTGGGGCCATTGGAGCCTCAACAGGTAAACCTTTTGCGTTTTTACCACAGATACAAAGTAGATTCCTAAACCCCTTATGTAACCTGGGGATTGTGAAGGGACCTAAAAATACCCATTCACTCCTTGCCTTCTAAACAATGAGTTTAAGTATCAAAGACAGAGATGGACACTGATGTCTTCTTAGAGTCCCTTTGATGAGTTTCAAGTCACTGGCTTAGAATTCAATCCTGTCAGCATCATGGCCTTCTAAGGCCCACTGTGAACTTAAGAGTCCAGCTTTATATTTTCAATAGTGTGTTAATCAAGAGGTTTCTTAGTATATTGGTTCCCAGTATATTGGTTAAGATGAAGAAAATGCTAAGACAACAAAAAAGAATAGTATGAAATGTTTGTTTCCCGGCTGATCTCTGTGAAACATTTTTAAAGTCTTGCCTTTAATTTGCTTGAACTCAATCATTCCTGACTTTCACATTCCTCAAATGATAGAAGGAAGCATGCTTCCCTGTAAGGGCCTAATTACCTTTGTGACCTAATTATCTCCCGACATTCCCACCTAATATTAATATCATCACCTCAGGGATTGGCATTTCAAAGAACCTGGAAGGTGTGAACTTCAGACCACAGTTACAGGATGACAGCAGGTCTGTGGCCTGTGGAGTGTTTTATATACTTCAGAACTAACTTACGGCTATTTCAAATGTGATTATGATGCAACTTGTAAGAACTTGTAATAAAAATATGTAACATTAATGCAAATTGAGAAGAGTTCTTTAAGTAGAGGTAATTAAAACAGATTAGAGAGTGTTCAGCTTTCATCCTGTTGTCATTTATAAAGATGATGCTATTTATTGGATTACTTTGTTTTATTTTTATTTTAGTTTTAAAAGATAAGCCATGATTCATAGCATGATCCTCTCTTTTTACTTATTCATATATGGTGTAAAATAAGTAGCTAAAAGATAAATAGAGCAATATGCTATTCACCATCTGCTTTTTTAAAAATAATGATTTGTTTCACAACCAGAGGACAAATCTACTCTCTCCCTCTCTCTCTCTTTCTCTCTCTCTCTCTCTCTCTCTCTCTCTCTCGTGTGTGTGTGTGTGTGTGTGTGTGTGTGTGTGTGTGTATTAGGACAACAGAGTAACATAAACCTGCATGCAGCTTTTCTTTCTTGGATTGGGCATCCGTTCTTGTTTATTTCTGGGAACGTCACTTCTCAGTTAAGGCTTTGGCACTAGTACCATCTAAGCAGTTTTAACAGCAGTTGTGACGGGAAATAGGGGAAGAACAATGGGCAGCCCAAGGAAACTGCTTCTGCTTGGTCCTGTCATTACGACACTGAGGAAGATCAGCAAACATCAAAGAAGCTATACTAATGTACAGTTCCAGGTCCCTTGTTTTCTCCAACATAAGCTGTAGCTAAACAGCAAAATAGGGCCCTAAGGTGGTAAAGGCACTTGCCATCATGCCTGATGACCTGAGTTCCATCCCTGGAACCCACATAATGGAAGGATAGAATTGACTCCAGCAAGTTTTCCTTTGACCTCCAGATTCATGTGCTATGGCATGTACACTCATGTGCACACATGCACACACACACACACACACACACATACACACAAATAACATTACAAATGGGAACAGTCATTTCTACTGCATGGAGGAATTAGTGGCCTTTGTAGACCACATTTGAGCTGCTTTCAAGCCAAAACTTTTCCCCCAAAATCATCATATAATTTTGAAACAAATTTAATTATGAAAGTGTCTTTGGTAATGCTTGTACTTCCTTTAAACTGTGTTCTTTCCCATTTTCCATTTCACAGGGTTTTTCTTAATATTGAAAAGTAGGGTGCTCCTCTGTGGACCAACCTTAGCTTAACTATGCCAGGCTCTACCTGGCCTCCCAGCAGGGTTGGAATGCAGGAGCATTCTTACCAGTACAGGGCTTCAGACACTGCAGAGTGCATGGCCCAGATCAGGACCACCCCACCTGCTCTGATACTCTAGTCATCCTTGAGGAAATGTGCCTCTACAGCTCATGGCTATGTGAAGCCCAAGAACCTGAAGTTCTGTTCTTAGGTGATCACTTGAAATTGTGGAAATTGTTAATTTTAGCCTTTGAGTCAGCCAAAACTAGTCTTCATTAAAGAAATTGGTTCTTGGGATAGAGAGATGGCTCAGCATCTAAGAGCATTGGCTACTCTTATAGAGAACCTGGGTTCAGCTCCCAGCACCCACATGGCGGCTAACTACCGTCTGTAACTCTCGTTTTAGGAGATCCAACACTCTCTTCTGACTTCCATGGGCATTGCACAACACAGGTGCAATTACATACATGCAGACAATATACTCAAACACATAAACTAAAAATAATAAAATAATTTTTTTAAAAAAAGAAATTGGTTCTTCAGAGCAGGGTGTTCTCCCAGAATTATTAACAGAGAGGGGGGATATTTGCAGTAGAATTACTGGAGACCAACTTAGTTTTTGAGGAGCAGAATCCATGTCCAATTTATTCTTGTAGGCCCAGCCCTTGGCCTACAGCCTAATTCAGTGAGGGAGAGTGTCCACAGAGAACAGAGAATGCTTAGCACAAGTTGAAGAGAATAAGCCCCGCATAACTCTGTCCTGCCTTCCATTTTGTTCAATAATTTGCCTTGGTTGAGAGAAAGGTCTAGTCACTCTGTGGCCAGAATTCAGAACCTACCACTAGAAATTCTGTGTCTCTGGATAAATTACACAACCTCTCTAGGTCTTAATAGTCTCCTCTGCAACATGGGAGTAACATGGTGCCTTAATATTGACACCAACTCATGATTTGTTGGGGAAATTAAGTAGGTTACCGTGAACAAAAGCAGTTGCATATAGTTCTCAGCACATAGTAGGCAGCTGGAAAATAGTAGCCTAATTCCATTATTATTACCAGATTCTCTCTGACTTTGCAAAAAATTTAAAATCATGAAAGCCATAGTAAAAAATATTTTGAGTATATACTCAATGAATATATAATAGTGTATTTTATAAATTATAAAGATATATAATTGATTAAAGATAAATATATGTAAGCAAATAAAATGTATCAATAAAAGTGAATCTAATTAAATGTGTTAGAAATTCTAATAAAAATGGAAACAATATATTCAAAAACAAACCGATGCTTCAAGTCACCTTACTATACCAAGCTCTAGGACCTCCCCCAAAATCTGAGCCTCCCGAATAAAAAGGGACTGTCCTTAACCTAAGTTGCCTCCACGATCCCGTAAGTGAACTTCTATGTAAGATGCGATTTACTTAGGAGAAAAATAATAGTAAGGCAGCTCCAGAGCCAAGCTGTCTTAGGAAAAAGGGTGAAGGAAAACAATCCCACAATCCCACTGTGAGTTCTACATGCACACAGACACCCACACCCTTACAGAAGGGATTGGAGGTCTCCCTTCAGCGCTAAGTGGTCCACAGAAAATTCTGTGATTCAGCTAAAGAACATTTTCTCTCCGTGATTCCACATAATGCAATGCTACCATGGCACACAGTGAGCATCTAGCTCTGCCAGGCTCCCCTCAGGTGTTGTGAATTAGAGAGAATGCCAGAAGCATTCCGAGAAGCCAGGACCTTGCTGCATGGTCATCACGTGTGTGTCCCACCTCAGGAGATGAGGCTCTCAGCCGGTTCTGTTGTTTCTGCTCCACAGACTGGAATCAGACTGCATATGGGTTTCCAGATCCCAAGAGCAAGGAGGAAGGAGACATGATTCTCCCGATTGTTCTACAGTACCTCTGCCCCGTGTACATTTCCTTTTTTGGCCTCGGTGCAGTTTCCGCTGCTGTTATGTCCTCAGCTGACTCATCCATCCTGTCAGCAAGTTCCATGTTTGCTCGGAACATCTACCAGCTTTCCTTCAGACAAAATGTAAGATCAGCTCTCAAATTTGCTATTTTCACTGTTTTTGTTGTCACTGCCATTGCTGTATTTATTGTGTTCACAGTACTGCAGGTTGAACCCACTTAATCTGAAAATGTTAAGTTGGAAATGTTTCAAAATCCAAAACTTTTGAAAACCAATGTGATGGCATAAATGGTTTCCACACTGTGAAAACTTGTTTCATGAACAAAATTACTGAACATAATGTGTTAAATTACCTTATGCCAGATCTTTAAGGTGTATATGAGATGAAAATTAATTTTTTAAACTTGGTTTTCATCTCTAACATATCTCACTATGAATATGCAAACTTTCCAAAATTAAAATAACCCTCCGATCTCAAGCATTTTTGATAAAGGATGCTCAATTTGTATATAAATATTGAGTCTGTATTAAAATCTGGACCCACTTTGATTAAGCAAGTTTAGATAGCAATGAATTTATTTATCCTTCAACTGAATCATAGTGCATGGTATCATTTGTGTTAATACTAAAGAGAATAAGTCAATATAACTATTTCCCAAGAGATTGCTATGTTGATATAACTTAAACTTCTTGTTTTTCTAGTAAAAGAGAAGGCAGACTCAAATATCTTAGGAAAACATTTAATCTTATTAAATATGCTAAAAGATTAAAGAAATCCTGTGGCAGTGGGTCATGGAAAGCTAGTTCACACTATTTTTGAAACATCTGGAGTGCCCTTTGAATTCCCAGCACACCTTTAATATAAAATATCCTTTCAGTTTGAGTTTATTACTGAGTTAAATGATTATAGTTAAACAACATATTGTTTTGTGGTCCCCGAGGGACAGTGAGCCCCTTTTCAAGAGCCTTTCTTTATCAAATAATGCTTGGCCTCACCAGTTTTCCTAGGTTATAGTCAGCAAAATTGATCCACTGTGGCTATAAGATGGCTCAAGTGGGTAAAAGATACTTGCCACCAAGCTTGATGAACTGAGTGCTGTCCCTGGAACCTATGTGATGGAAGAAGAGTACTGACTTCATAAGTTGTCCTCTGATCTCTACACATGCGTCTAATGTGTGCAAGTGAAACCTCCCCTTTGCCTTGTTATCCCTGGATGACACATTAGCTCATCTCATTCCCCCCACCGCCCCCCCCCAATGCATTCAGAGAAAGGCCCCATGGTCTTACTTCATGTGTATAGTACACAGAAGCCCTACCACCCAGGTGCCACAGCTTTGGTGCTGTAGGTTATGTAGGCTTTGACTGCATACTGAGCCATGAGAACCAGGGGACTTTGTTAGATCAGTTTCAAATCATAGATAGGTAACCTGTTCGTCACTTAAAGAGTCAGCACATTGGTTGCAAAGCTGATCCTGCATTGATTCCTTGCAGGCATCAGACAAGGAGATTGTTTGGGTCATGAGGATCACAGTGTTTGTGTTTGGAGCATCTGCAACAGCTATGGCCTTGCTGACGAAGACTGTATATGGGCTCTGGTACCTCAGCTCCGACCTTGTCTACATCATCATCTTCCCACAGCTGCTCTGTGTGCTTTTCATCAAGGGAACCAATACGTATGGGGCCGTGGCAGGTTACATTTCTGGACTGTTCCTGAGAATTACCGGAGGGGAGCCATATCTCTACCTACAGCCCCTGATCTTCTACCCTGGTTATTACTTTGATAAGAATGGTATATACAATCAGAGGTTCCCCTTTAAAACTCTCTCCATGGTTACCTCATTCTTGGCCAATATTTGTATCTCTTATCTAGCCAAATATCTATTTGAAAGTGGAATCTTGCCACCAAAATTAGATGTATTTGATGCTGTTGTTGCAAGGCACAGTGAAGAAAACATGGATAAGACAATCCTGGTCAGAAATGAAAATATCAAATTAAATGAACTTGCGCCTGTGAAGCCTCGACAAAGCCTAACTCTCAGTTCAACTTTTACCAATAAAGAGGCCCTTCTTGAGGCTGATTCTAGTCCAGAGGGGTCTGGGACTGAAGATAACTTACAATGACCCTATCTAAACAAAATACTACAGAGCACTGTAGTTGAGTAGTCCTGGAAAGAAGGTTCACAGCATATACAACTCATATATAAAAATATAAATGTTTAGGGGGGGAAATTCTGCAGAGAGCAAAATAAGTTATAAAGGAAGAGATCAGAAACAATAAGATGCAATTGCACAAGTATATACCAGGTGAGAAGGAAGCAGCCATAAAAGTGACAGTTTTATTTCTCATCCATAGTACTTTTAATTTTGAAGCCAAATAGCTTTGTTAGGCATGATAAAAAATGAATAAAGCCCCAGCCAAAGAATGGTGGCCATATGACATTTATCTTTATTATGGAAACAGGAAGTATATGTGAAAGAGCCTGTGAAAAGGAGCCGGGATGGTCTTGATCCAGCTTTGCTGGCAACGCACAGGAGCCAGTTTAATTATTACAACAGAAGCTGTGATTAACTCAGGTGCCACTGAACAATGCAGTGAGTTAGCAGGCTGACTTCTCAATGTGGGGTTAACCTGCTATTTCATGGTCAGAACTGTGGCATTTGCTCAGCGTGCATTGTGTATCTCTCTCTCTCTCTCTCTCTCTCTCTCTCTCTCTCTCTCATTCTTTCTCTCTTCACTTTTCATTTTTTGGTGGTGCTGGAGACCTATCTCAAGGCCTTGCACATGCTAGGTAAGGGCTCTCCTGCTGAGCTACTTCCCCGGCCCCACAATCTGTTCTTCTTTTAGCCATATATTTTTCTAAGCACAAGCAACACAAACAAAAAATTATTTCATAGTGACATTTTCATGTGCAAAATGAAGGGAGAATAGAGCCCATGTTGGGAAAAGAGCTCTGAGCTCTTTGAGGATATCTGTAATTGTCATATGCTCAAAAGAGTGCCTGGAGCATGGAAAGGTTATTGGGCAGCATTACAGCAATAAGTCATAAAGAAAATTAGACAAAAAGGAAGAGGAAAAACAGATTTTTATCTCCAGCTGAAGTATGTAAAGTCACAAGATGAGAATATAATGTCTTGATTTATTTGTTTTCTAAACTAGAATTGGAAATGAAATTGAGCCATATGTAAAAAGAGGTAACTGTATAATGCCAGTTACAATTGATGAGATGCAAGCTGGTGGATCAGCATGTATTCAGTGAATATTTATTACCAGCAGTTGGCAAACACCTTCTTGTAATGAAACTGGAAACACAAACTGCTCATTTTTGACATTCATTAATGAATTGGGATAGTATTAAGGAATCTACTCTAGGGTACTTTCCACATAAACTAGTTTTAGGGCCTGGACAGATTACCTTAAGAAGTATACACTGAATTTTAAGACATAATAGAAAACAAAAAATAAAAGCAAGTCCTAAAGATAAGAAGGCATCATTTTAAAAATATTTCAGTGATTCTTTGAGAATTTCATACAATCTATTTTGAACATATTCATCAGGTGTGCCCATGGTTTTCAAGAGATCAATCATTAAATGCTATTATACATATACATATATATTATATATGATAGCATTTCAAGTCCTTTCGCACATTATTTTGAGTTCTTTTTACACATTATAGAAGTAACTGGAACTGTGTGAACAAAATCATAGTGAACTGATGAGATGAAAAATTATCCAAGAATTCAAACTATTGAAGGAAGTCAGTCTGAATTACAGAAAGGAAAAGACTTTTCAATTTTTTTCTACAACAAATGACATCAAATTAGTGTTCAGCATTAAGTACAAAAATTGTGTGCTACCCCTTACAATTCTTTTCCATATGTTTCAACTGGAATTATCTCAAAACATCAAATAATGTACCCCCTTTGTTACAAAACGCAACTTAAATTCCCAGTGTGAAAGTCCTGTAATAATTCAATGTTTTGTCAAAACTTGGGTAAATATGGCACTGTCTTGAGAATCTTTCCTGAATATCATGTATATCTAAATGAACACAGAATTCCTTTAATTCATCAATTTTTCATAGAATCAATTCAGTATTATGGAGTACTTGTAGGTGTCAGAGTTCGAGATTCTCAAACATGGATTGAGAAAAAAATCCAGAAAAAGGAAAAAAAGAGATAGTATTGGATATGAAAAAGCAATTAGTAGATAGGCCTGAAACTTCTGGTGAACATCATATTTCAGATGTACCAGGCTTTCCAACACAGACCCAAAGAGTGATTTTTGACCACCTCATCATCATGAGTCCTCCCCCTCAGAGTCATCATCATCATGAGTCCTCCCTCAGGGTCATCATCATGAGTCCTCCCCCTCAGAGTCATCATCATGAGTCCTTCCCTCAGGGTCATCATCATGAGTCCTCCCCTCAGAGTCATCATCATGAGTCCCCCTCTCAGAGTCATCATCATGAGTTCTCCCCTCAGAACCATCATCATGACTCCTCCCCTTAGGGTCATCATCCTGAGTCCTCCCATCAGGTCATCGTCATTTGTCCTCCCTTTTGAGCCATCATCATGAGTCTTTCCCTCAGAGTCATCATCATGAGTCCTTCCCTCAGAGTCATCATCGTGAGTCCTCCGCTCAGAGTCATCATAGTTCTCCCCTCAGAGCCATCATCATGAGTCCTCCCCTCAGAGCCATCATCATGAGTCTTCCCCTCAGAGCCATCATCATGAGTCCTCCCCTTAGGGTCATCATCATGACTCCTCTCCTCAGGGTCATCATCATGAGTCCTCCTCACAAAGCCACGTCATGGATCTTCCCCTCAGACCACCTGTAGCATATGCTTCTGTTATGCATTTCATGAAACATGCATTTCATGAAACACTGTAGAACATACTGTGAAGCTGGTTCCCTTTACAGACGTTATGTTTTAGAAAGTTCTTGGTCAGCAGTTGTCCCAATAATCTTACTTAATTCCGGTGAAAGATAATATTAATGGTAATTAGCATAGGAACATTTTCCCTGTCCAAAATATTAAAACTAGATAAAGAATTTAAACTTATAGTGTATTTTATTTAACCCAATATTTCTGAGACATTGTGAAACTAGATATTTATAAATCACATATCCATAAAAATGTATAAACTGTAAGCAAGATGATATTTTAAAGTATAAAAAAAAAACAAAAGAATGAAGTAACCATCTCAAGAGCTTTACTTATTAATGCACATTATACATGCGTTTGCCCTGGTTTCCAAGGAGCTGTTTTGCCGGCTTCATTCAGTAGACCTAATTTTCAAATGACTCCTTAATGAAAATAAAACAGTTCAAGCAGTTCAGTCACTGGCTGTATAACTTTAGGAGATGATACCTGTGGGTAAGCATTAGACTAAGATCAGAATTTTATTTTCATACTTTACAATGATTGTAACATATTTCTTAAAGTTTGTGCCCTTCCACACGTTTGGAACATTCAACTTGTAGTTGGAGTGATATGTCAACAAGCTTTCAAATATTCAGTGCCAAAATCCAGTTCTTTACTACACTTAACATTAATGAATTTTACTTGAATATCATATGAATATGATTCATAGCTTCAAATAAGTGAATTTAATATAATGGCTGTTGGATTTTTTATTTGTAAATAATTAATTAGCATTATATTTTAAACAAGAATCATTTTTCCTTTCTATCCTTCTAGAAAATTTACCCTGGTATCATGTATAACATAAGTTTGCTATAATGTATGTTTGCTACTGAATAGAAAAATACATATGATGGTTCCAAAACCTATATTTTTGTCTGTCAAAATAGTATATAAAGTTATGCTCAAAATAATTAGATTTACAACTATATATGTAAGTATTTAAATGTAATGATGTATTAAATTATGGTGTTGCAATTCAGGATATCATTGCCTAGGTTTGACTTTTGTGGGGCCTCTCCTTAAATATAAATGGTGCTTGAAAAAATTATGCAATGGAATTGAAATAAACAAATTATGGAAAGATATTCAAATGTCAAGTAGAAAAACTTGCACCAGTCTTGGGGTAATATATGGTATCTTATCTCAGAATAATATTCCATTACTCTACACAGGCCTTGCACTGAATCAGATAAATTAATAAACTCTCCATCCCATCCCATTAATATAAAAATTACATATTTTTTAAAACCAGAGGTCTCTCTAATCATCATTGATAAAGACATGCAGCCAATAACAGAGTGACAAACCAGTTCTCAGTATGCTCTGGGGATCTACTCCTTGTCACTGTGGCAGGTGCCATATTAATGAGAAGCTTCACTCTTGGAGTAGTTTGACCAAGAGTAGGACCAGTTTTGCTCTGAGGTGTTCTGGTTTTTCTCAGAGCTGTTGGTGTCTGTTCTCTTCTTCCCCTGTTCTCTGATCTGTTCTTGTCTATTTTATTCTGCTCTCTTCTATTCTAGTTTACCCTTCTGTCTGCCAAGAGATGGTCTCTCATACTTTTTGAGCAGCATATCCAACATGGTACAAAAAAGGCATGAACAATCTGTGATGACAGTTTTACAAAGGACAGAGTTGTTTTTCTGAACTTACTGACTTATAACAGTACACAAAGCCTAAGATGTCATCAATTTATCCCCCTATGGTGCTCACATTTGGGGGGAGATGTTATTTTCAATGTCATTGTTTTCAAAGTCATCATTGTCACATCTCATGCACACATACATTGTTCTGAGGCAGAGACATACAAGAGTCACAAATAGGGAACATGGTATGTAATTAAACCTATGTGTTTAGCTTACCTTGTAAGAGTGTATTACATTGGGATCTCAAATCATTGTAGGAATGATTACATTGTCTTTCTTAGGGAAATTACATAGTTCTAAATGTTCTCCACACTGCTTTCCAGTTCTCAAAACATATGATTAACTTGGTTTACAAGGTTATGTAAAATTTCAATTTGTAAAGACTTGCTTCAAAGAGTTTTTCTCATTAAATTCACTCCTACATCTAACCTAACACTTTCATGGTACCTAAGTAAAATTATATGTATCCTCAGAAATTTGGCCTCCTACACCTTAATCATAAGCATTATGCCTTTAGACATATACATACCTTTAGACATACTTACAAGCTGGAAGGACCTGTAAATAAAATAAGGAAGGATAAAGAAAGAGTAAGTTCTCTGGCAGGGAAATATGGCACCAGTTTGCCTGCCATTGTGGCTATTCTTCCATCTATCCATAATTGGCATGGGATTTTTGCTTTATCTCAAACCTACACTGTAACGGGAATTATTAGAAGTAGGAAAAAGGAAAGCATAAAAGTAGAGCCAAACCAGGTGGCTTATGTCTGTAATCCCAGTTGTTCAGGAGACTAAGGCAGAAAGATTGCAAGTAGAAGACCTGCCTGGGGGGGGGTGGAGAGAGAGAGAGAGAGAGAGAGAGAGAGAGAGAGAGAGCGAGCTGGGAAGCTCTAGCAAAATGTTTTTTCACACAACTTTGTACCATCAGCTGAAGAACTCCAATACAGAATGGTGAAAATAGACACTCTGCCTTAAAGTTACTCGAATTCTTTAAAAACGAGAATGCATGATTATTCTGTTTTGATTTTTAGTTGGGAAATTATAGATCTCTGTTTTGGACTTTCCAAAACGTGTGTGTATGTGTGTGTGTGTGTGTGTGTGTGTGTGTGTGTGTGTGTGTGTGTGTATTTTAGAGCCAAACTGCAGTGTTGATTTAACCATTTGTCACCTGGAAGCAATGAAACTCATAAACCAAGGAGGATTTGTTGGAGTCAGTGTTGGATTTGGAGTAGTGGAGTAACTGAGGATGGGCCCTGACAGCACTGGGTGCAGCTGGATCAAGACATGAGAAGACAGGAGCACAAGGAATCATGCTGACTGTCACAGGACCTGAAACTGGATGTTGCTAGAAATATTAGCCCTCTAGAGATCTGTTTTATCCTGTGCACTTTTGATTTAGAGCATCTTTATGGTCCAGAATGCCTCTAGGTTTGGTTATATCCTTGTTTGGAATCTATTCAGGTAATTGCAGCATAAGTGGGTAGACAGTAGCTAAGAACAGCACCATAGAGGAACACACAGGGGCTGGGGAGCCATGTGCTCTTAAATAAGCCACACAACTGCTATGCATTTCAGTTTTGCTGAGGGGGTGGCAAATAGCTATTACCAGTTAAGTTATATGATACATACAAGTTCACACAGTAGAAAATCCTTAAAATATGAAGATACAGAACTATAATCACCAATCTCCAAATGAGAAAACTGTGACAAAACATATCTACTTCCCTTGGAAATAATTATCAGCGTGAATTCTACATAAAGAATCAAGAAAGTAAAGTTGTGTTTTAATATACATTGACTTGCAGATCATACTCACTTTGTGGACATAACTGAATAGAATTTTCATGTTATTCTGTGTGCACCCAATTGTACCCCGCATGTGCCATGATTTTAGCTAAGGAGGATGAGGAAAGTTCACCTCACTGTTTACACTGGATTTTCTGGTCAATGCCATCTGTCAAACCAAGAGTACTCTGGGTTGAAAGGAAGAAATAGAAACTGGAAAGTCCACTAGAGTTTTGGAAATGGCACTGAAAAGTTTTATTTAGTTGTGTATTTCTGATAATTTGAATAAAAGCATAAAATGATTTAAATCTTTTTTTTTGGTTTTTGTTTTGAGACAGGGTCTCATGTAGTGCAGGCTGCCTTCAAATTCACTAAGTAACTGAGGTCTTGAATTTCTGATCTTCCTCACTCCCAAATGCTAGGCATGCATCACAGGCCTTGCTTAAAAGACTCATAAAGAAATGTAAAAGTGATACGAGATTAAAACTGTTAAATTTTGCATTTGATAACTAACCAAAGCTGGTCTTTAAACCTCTTAAGTGTATGTATGGTGAGTGGGGTGGGAAACAAATGCTGATGGCCATCTAGCAAGATTACATGAAATTTGAACTAAATCGAGGTCAAGAAAGTATTGAAAATCATTTAACTCTATATAGGTTAAAATGTCCCAGGCACTGACAGCCATGGGCATAGACTGCAGCCATGACCAAGTGCAGAGAACAATGTGGGCTGAACCCATAAGAAAACATTGTGTCCCAAACACATTTGTTCATGTTCACAGAGCCTAAGCACATAGAGGATGCCACATGTCTGAATCAACATCAAGCTCACGTTGGGCCCTTAGGAAACATCTAACCTACATAGGGTTCATTTTTATAATAATTCCTTTTCATTTTACCCTAATTTATGCCTAAAATTTCCAATAAATATATAGCAAATTTGTTTCTCACATTTCACTTTTCAGAGAGAACTATAAAGGTCCAAAAAGTTTAAAAATAAAAGCATAAAATGATTTAAATATCATTTTTTTGTTTTAAGACAGGGTCTCATGTAGCCCAGGCTGCCTTCAAATTTACTTTTAAAATGAAATGTAAACCGTTAAAATGAAAAGTACACGATTAGGACCTTGACATCTTTGGCTCCTCCTCTTATTCCTTTTACAACTATTATAGACAAAACAATTCTGACACCTCAGTTATTTCAAAACATACTTATTTTAAAAAGCATAATCCTAAAATAATTTTACTGTGTTCTACTTTCTAATTACTGTAAAAAATTAAACACTTTAAAAATTATATTCAATGCAAAAGCAAGTTTTCAACATTCGTGGGGATGACTCATTAGTCTATAGTGCAAACTAACTTAAACGTTTTCATCTTCTAAACCTAGATATTAGGAGATGTTACCCTCAATTCTGTTTTTTCTCTGTTTTTTCTCTGTTTGCTATGGGGTAGTTCATTGGTACTCTTAGTCTCAGATCACTTTCTGTAAATTTCTATAAATCAAATCAAATCTATACATTCTATAAATGATCTCTTTGTTAGGGACAAGGTCTCTCCATGTGGCCCTGGCTGGCCTGGAACTCGCTATATAAGCCAGTCTAGCCTTTAACTCACAGGGATCCACCTGCCTCTACCTCCAGAGCACTGGGATTATAGGCCTGACTTTATAAATGATCTTTAAGATGTTCCTGGCTTGAAATGTAACAACTACATGTCAGACACTCTTCATTGTTCATACTGGAATAATTTCAGTTAATCCAAGCTCTCACATTCCATACTGCTATGACTAGAAGTGTTCTCATCCTCACCCCCATCACCATTCCCAGCTAATTACTGATAGCGCCTCTGCTAGGAGGTAATGGGAGTTCACTAAGAAAATAACATTCTCCCTCACCCTACTCTCATCATCAGAGGTGGTAATCTGTGTCTGTGGTCAGACTACCCACTGATTCTGGCAATGTACAATTGAGACTTGTCTTTCACCTCATCTAGTCAGTTTGCAAAATGTAAGGCTTGAGCAATTTTCTAACAGGTGTCCATGTGAGTTCGCTGGCCTATCCTAGTCAACTCTGAAACATCTACCTGCCTTCAGGCTAAATTGAACTAAGTCCATAAACCCTTGATAAATTAGTTTACCTTTTTTTTTCCTTTTTCTTTTTTCTTTTTTGGTCTTTTTGAGACAGGGTCTCCGTGTAGCCCCAGCTGTCCTGGAACTCACTATGTAGACCAGGCTGGCCTTGAACTCACAGAGATCCTCCTGCCTCTGCCTTCTGAGTGCTGGGATAAAAGGCGTGCACCACCATGCCCAGCTCCTTTTTCAATTTTATTATTTTATTGAATTTTTGTGCGTTTCATATAATATATCTTAATCAAATTTAGACTCCCTGTCCCCTCCCTGTTCCCCATAGCTCCCCCACCAGATTTCAGGTATTCTGTCATATATGTTAAGTCTTATCCAGTCAGGTATTTTTATCCAGGTGTCCCTCAGTCCAAGTTCACTCACTGGAGTCTAGTCAGCCTATCTAGAATCACCCCCTTAAATAAAATCTACTCTCCCTCACCAATATCTTAATGATCTATTTAGCTTGACTTAATGGTCTACTTATCTTAAGATTATAAGCTCCTGTCTCCTTTTCTTTAGAGCATTTACTTTGCACAACTCGCAATTATAAATTTTTTTTGTGACTCCTGAGGATGCAAATTTCCCCCAGCTTCTTGCTGGTTTCTAGCCCATAAATGCATTTCCAAGAGCCTGAAAGCTATTTCTTTGAAATGGAACCAAGATGGATAGGACTCCTTTCACCCAGATTTTGTGGAGGGGT